TCCCTGTCTTTCCCTTTCACTATAGCATGTGAAGGGATGATGGACGGCACCGTATCACTTGGCAGCCTCTGCATCTGTCTCCCAGGAGAAAACAGTCTATGCCACAATGACCCTGTCACTACACCTGAGAGAGCTAATAATTCCGTTAACTGTAGATTTTTAATTTTTTCATATTTGTAATTGTATGATTTTTTTCAGTGAACATCGGTTTGCAATACCGCATATGACTCAGAGGTACAGGCTCACAGCTCTTCAGAAGCCTGTTACTGCACCACGCTCACCAGTAAAGCCCCCGTGGTCCTCCAGCACTGTCCACTGGGCCCCTCCCTCCTTAGTGTTATTTTTAATTATGATCTAGTAAAACGTTTATGAAATTCTTGGGGATTCTTAGAAAAGCATTGAAAACTATTTTTCTAGAGGACAGACCTATCTTACTCTAGGAAAAGCAAATAACAAAACTTAATTCCTCTAACAACACACATAGGCTCAAGTCTTACGTATCAAACCTATCACACATTGGAATTCCGAGATACACATTAAGGGCTGCAGATTGGCTAACGTCACTTAGTAACTGGCAAGCTGGCAAGTGGGCCTTTGTGAACACTTCTGTCCTAAAGTCCTCAGTTTAAAAATTTAGTAACAGCTTTTCTTATTAGGCTGGTTTTCTTAGGCAAATCAAAGGGTGCTTAAACAATAATTACTCTTGGATCCCAGTAAGTGTAAGGACAGGATAGAGCATTGCCAGGCTCCACAAAACATCACTGTACTACATCTTCCTTAAGTGGACATCATTCATCACTTCAGAAAACCAACAATTAGGTTGGAAACACAAGTGCTAATAGAGAATAGTGATATCTACTAAAATGTACAGTTTGTTTCAGGAACATCACTTTTAAGAAAGTGACTTACTGGGAAAATCACTTAAGTAGGCCATTAAAAACTTGAAGTGTCAACATTCTTGGGAAACAGTCTATTAGCCATGTAAATGCAAAAGAGCCTCCTCAGGCTGGGCCTGGATGGTCCTGCTCAAGTCAGATACCTCAGTTACACAGGACCTCTTCTGGCCATTTAGGCATAATGGCAATATATTGAAATATTGAACATGAGTGTATGTGCGTATATACTCCTAATCTTTTGTCTGTCTGTCTCACATGTATGCACATACACACACATATACTCACTCACTCTACCTTGTGTGTGAGTGGAAAAAAGACCCTACTAATGCCTAGTCTTGAAGGCTGGCAGCTGGCATTTCCTTTAAACAGACACCTGAAATGGCTTTTGTTTTAAAGTAACAACAGCAAGGGTTCCAAGGATTAAAAAGCAAATACTTCAGGCCCTCCCTGGTGGCGCAGCGGGTTAAAGCACAGCACTGAGAAGCTAAAGCCACTTCCTCATGAGTTCGACCCCGCCTGCCCTGGAGGTGACCACATGGCGTGGCAGACCTCTCCTGACCCGCCCGCTGCTCCCCTCAGCAGTGGACTTCATTGAGCTGCCTGTTCTGCTCCCCACTCTGTCTCTGGTGAAGCCTCTCACCCTTCGCATCTCTGGCCTGTACCCCAGTTCTATATGAATAAATAAATAAATCTTAAAAAAAAAAAAAAGAGTAGGCTAAGGCAAAGAAAGGAGTGACAAGTGTCTCGTTCCTACCGAGTAGTGCACACTGTCAAGGTACTGCTGTCAGGGCGCAAGGGAGTCCCTCTGCCGCGCGTGGCACGGGGAATAAAGCAAAGTCCAAACCAGAATTGAAAAGCTAAGCCTTGCTGCCCAAGTAAAAATAATGCCTTCATTTCGAGCAAATAGTAAAATGTGAAAAAACACCATGCTTAGGTGACACAGAACTTACCAATAAAAGATAAAACAATTTTAAAGGTTTCAATATTTTAACCATGACAGCCACAACAGTAAATTATTGTTAATTATTGCTGAAAAGTATTGTTAATTAAAGGAAAAACATTATTAATTAAAAGAACCACAATACTGGATGGAGTTAGTAAAAGCTCTATAGATTACTCCATTTAAAAAAACAACCACCAGGCCCTCCCTGGTGGCGCAACAGGTTAGGGCGCAACACTGCAAGCGAGCTGCAGCTGCTTCAGTGCCAGTTCGATCCCCACCCCCAGAGGTGACCCACATGGCGCAGCAGACCTCTCCTGCCTGCTTCTCCACTCAGCAGTGTACTTTGTCAGTCGGCCTGTTCTGCTCCACTGTCTCTGGTGAAGCCTCTCGCCGTCCTTGCACCTTTGGCCTGGACCCCAGTTCTGTATGCACAACTAAATAAAGATCTTAAAAAACAACAACATTAAGTGGTGCACTACGTGGGAGAGGGAGGGGAAGGGTCCAGAGGGGGCTGGGGCAGGGGCAGGGGCCCACAAGGGACTGAGGTGATGGGTCACAGGGCTGAGGTGGAGTGGTGGTGAGGGAACTATGGACTACACCTGAGGGGTCCAAACACTGTGCAAAAAATGAATGATGGTGTACAAAAACACACCAGTGCAGAGGAAAGTGCTTATTCAAAATCTTTATTTGGAAAATAAAACATATTCGAAACAAATCTATGTATCAGAAACAAGTTTTACAGTCAAGGGCCTGCAATAGTTGACAATGGAGCGATATAATGGAGTAATACAATGGGGTAATAACAAATTTGAAATTTTGAAGACAATTTTATTTTGCTCAATGTAATTTTGAAGAAATTATGTATAATTTACTACAATTCAAATATGGGACTCATTTTAAGCACTTTTTTTAAGGGCATTGTGTACTGTACTATTAATAGAGTAGCCACTGTCCACCTGTGGCCACTTACAATTAAATTCAAGCTAGTTAAAATAAGATAAAATTTGAAAAAAAAATAGTAAGACAAAATTTGCAGTTTAGTTCCTCTGTCTAATTAGCCAAGTGCTGAAAAGCCACATGAAAAGACTACCACATGGGACAGTATATGAAACATCACCATCACAATGGAGACTTCTACTGGACAGGGTTGCTCTGATACCATTATATAGCTACTGTCATAATAAAATTAACCGCACGAAACTTGAGGAAAATATGTAAATAAAGATTTTGAATTTGTAATTTTGCTTCTAATATGAGAAATATTTCAGATGCCACAAAGTACAAGTCAAATTTGAAATCTGCATATACAATTTGAATTTAATCTTGCCTAGGATACAATTTCACTTTTCCAAATTAGTTCTATTACCAATTGTTTGTACAGTGTATGAAATCTAATGGCAAAACCAGAGTATCTGAGATGACTTAATCTGAATTACTCTGGTCAAAACTCTTTTGCCATCTATGAAAGATGTTTTTGGTTTGAATTAACTCCTTTTTAGGGCTACTGTAGGCATCATCTAACTATATGAAAATCTATGTAGAAATACTAAAGTCTTATTATGCTAAAGGCAACTAACAACAATCTATCTAGAAAGCAGACTGAGAAACTAAATCATATATCCTATCTCTATAAAGCTAATTATACTCTTTCACCAAAATATTTAAAAGGTGAATTTAATTTTCAAAAATTGTGTCATATGAAGATATTCTAAAAGTTAGTCATATGAAAGCACTTTAAATTCTCACAAGTCACAAAAATAATAAGAACTTGTCCACTTTCACACAAATCTACCGCCAAATCCGCTCTACTGAATTTCTTCTTTCCTTATTTAAAAAAAAAAAACAAGTTTAAATAACCTCAGTTATTTAAAACAAGGCCAGCCCAATGTCACAAGCAAATGGCCATAACTAAAGATTGAATTCTTAGAAGAAAAAAAGTTACTTTTTGAGTAATAACAAAATTTTATATCATTTTGAAGAATGCTATAAAATGAACTCTTCAGTAAGTTGAAAGCTTAGACTATGTTATAAAACTAAGTGCTTAAAAATAAAAATATATAAACTATTGTATTTTCTATAGCTAAAATATTCAAGAACTTTCTTTAAAACTAAGTGCTTAAGCATAAAAATTATATTTTCTATAGTTGAAACATTTAAAAATTTCTTTAAAACAAATTGCTTAAATTTAAAATAAAATCCAATATGTGAGCAAACTGGAATTATTTTTTAGTTTGCCAATATCCTTTAAGTTTTTTTCTAATTGAGTTTCAGTGGTATTTTCATTGAACACTAAGATTTAAATTTGTATGAATTTCAATAGCAAAACTGGTCAGAAAGACACAGTAAATGTATAAAATTTTCACCCAGATGTTTCAGAAACTGAAACAAAAGAGTTACCATCTGAATCTAGTCAGATTCTTTTAAATTATAATGTAGTCCTAGTTGAAATACTTGAATGGACTCAAAAGTCTCCTGATCTGATCCTTCTCTATTGACACTTAGCAAGTGTCTGTGAGGAAGTACTCTCAGGAGGTGATTTAAAGAATGCTATTCTTATCGGGTGTAAGTCAGAAAGACAAAGGTCTTATCTCTGAAACGCTTATGTCAAATAATGTGATTGTCAATCCAGCAAGCCCTCTACTGATGGGCTATAAAAGAGCCAACAGGTGTTGCAGTTGTATGTGAACCATCCCTTCTTTCTGAAGCAGCAGGACTTAGGCCAAGCCCTGCGTGAAGGCTCACCTGATGGATACGGAAAGTCTACCCGTGACGTGCACAACAACAGGGTTTTCCTTTCAACAATGGTTCTCTACCTACCACCTATAGTGTTTCGTGCCCCTCAGCTTTCATCTATCCTTACCAGTCAAATAGGCTATTCTCATTCTACACCAAAATAGCTAAGAAAAACGACTACTGAATTTTCTACTGTTCCTTTACTAGAGGTTCTTATCAGAACACTACCCACCACCTAGCTAGTAAGTGAAACATAACAGGTCTTCCTAATGCAATTTTGCCTTAGCTCTAGTCAGAAAAGGAACATTGGGTATTTCTTCAAATGTGAATGCAAAACTATACTACAGCAGGCTAATTTGGGGATTATAACTTGAGGAATTTACAGGGTAATGTAACAGATACAAAAACAAAAGTTGGATGACTGGCATTTAAGTGCTTCTGTCACTGGAGTCATCATCCCTTGGCTTGGGCTCTGTTGAAGTGGCCGCTGCTGCAGTTGGCTGTGATTTGGACATGGATCTTCTGTGGTCATATCTAAGGCTACGGATGCAGCTATTGATAGCTGTTACACACAGCTTCCAATCATATCCACCTTCTGAGAGATCACAAGTTGGGTAGGCAGCTTGCAGAAATTCTAGTGGGAAATTACAAAACATACTAGTTACTTAGAAATCACAGAGAGCAATGAGTTTATTCACCATTAGTTCTACTTCTATGTCTATGTATGAAAGGGTCATTAAGAATTCAACTAATTAAAACACATGGACTTAGCATGGACAATAACTATTATTTAATTATTGAGTAAACGTTCTCATCTAAATGTATAATATGAAATAGCACCATTCTTCAACTCAATAAAAACAATTATCCCATGAGCTCACTACATAACCAGAGGGGAACTTCTCTGTTGTCTTTAGCACCTAAGATAAACTTTTGTTATTTTTAAATTTATCAAACATACCTGTGTGCATGATAACAAGCAAAGCAGTGCTAAGGTTTTGTGATGCACCAGAGTGGCAGTGTCTTTCCTACTTTCACGGGGAAGAAGCTATAACTGCTAAAATGGCTTGGGACTACTTAGTTTACCTCTGACAAAAAGAATGAGAGACTTTAGAGTCTTTAGCTAGAGGAAAACTCCTTCTAAAGGATGGTGACATCAGTATGACCCATGGAGCACTCATGGACAAAGTGGGAGGACTTAGAAAAGGGAAGGTGGGAAAGAGAGGCTGGCTGGAAGAACAGGCTGCCCTCCGATACTTCTTAAAGTCATTTCAGTAACTGTGAGCCTCAGACAAGGCTCTCTCCATTATTACTACAGCAGCAGCAGTTGGCAACACTAATCTCAGTGGGTCTTGAAAGGGTTAATGGGTTGAGAAATCACAACAGTGCTATAAAAACAGCATCTACCCAAGTGTTTAGTGTAACATGTGACAACGTTATGGAGCTTTCATCCCCAAAGAACTAATTCATAGATAAGTGAGAGCCTGGAAGGAGGTCTTTTGTGGGGTGAGCCTGGAAGGAGGCTTTGAAGGGGTCTCACTAGATTCAGTATCAGGCTCTGTCCTGAACATTCTCATTAACAAAAAAAGAAGTCATGAAAAGCAGGCTTGTGCCATCTGACCATGACCAAGAATGGAGAGCGATCACGAATAGACCAAAGACAAATACAGCACCTGCGCAGTTTTCAACAGCTGCAGTACAGAACCTAAGTTGTTCAGTGTTGCCCCAAATGTGTTCTCTGAAAAACTCATCACAAAAGAAGTTTCTTGAGGAAAAAGGTTCTGCTTGTATAATGGAAAACGCTAGTCCCACTGAAAGATGCCTCAGTAAAGAGGTAGGGAGCAAAGGGGGGTGCAAAGTGCACGTGGGCCCGTAACCGAGGACGCGGGGACACAGAACGCAGCAGAGAGGCAGCACTGTGGCAGCCCGGGCAGGCTGGACAGCTGAAGGCATTCAGAACCCTTTGCAAGCAGTCGGGTGAGGCACATGTGTGAACTAAGGTTCCTTGGGTGCCGGATGAAGACCCCCCCAGGCATCTGACTCAAAGGACATGTTGTCCATGAAAGACCCGCTAGCATTCAGCCAGCTTTAAGACACAGAGTTTGGGGACTGCTGCTCCCCACTAACAAGATACAATGTAGGAGGAATAAATATCAACCCTGTCTGTAACATCACAGGATACTAACAGTATAAGTAGGAACCACTTACGTGCCAACGGATATAGACAGTTCATAGAAAAGACGATTTAGGGGTCTTATTGCATTGTACCCCTACAGGCAATTCTACTATTGTATTGGGGGTTAACTTGGGCACATCTGAACTTAGACAGTGCATCAGATCAGGGAAGACTAGGAAAATATTTATGCGAGGCATTACTGAAGGAAATGGGATATTTAACTATAAGAGCATAAGTAAGGCTAGTGGGGAAAAGCTGGGATGAGCACTAATTCCTAGTCCTGCTCTCAGGTAGAAGGACTAGTGAGCTGGGAATTCTGGAAGCACTGGGCAAGAATGCTTCAAAGTAAAGCTGCGATTTGTATGTCTATCTGCCTGATTTTTAGTTGCTTCTTCTCACTTGGTTCTGAACTTGAAAGAGCCAAGTAGAGGGTGTATTTATTTTTGCCATTTGCAACAACAGCGTGGACCTTGAAGGGATCATGCTAAGTGAGTCAGAAGCAGAAAGACAAATACCGTGTTCTTTCACTCATTTGTGAAATAATAAAGAGAATGAAAAGCTATCGAACAAACCAGACAAAACCAAGCCTAGGCTCTGACAACAGAAGGGCGGCTGTGGGGGGAGGGTCAGAGGGTTGGTAGATGGGGCTCCTGGGTGGTGGTAGATGGTGACTGACATTGGGTGATGGGGTGAGATACACCGTGGCTGAGGGGAGAAACTCTACCCCTGAAACCTGCACAGTGCTGTAGACTAATGTTACCTCAATAAAAGGAGGATGTATTTATTATCTCCTGCTGCTCTAGCAGGAAATAATTGCTGTCTTTAAATACTTGAAGGTTTATCGTGTGAAAAGTGACTGGCTCTAACCTACCTAGCACTGGAAGGCACAGGTAAGACACTTGTCCATTACTTGCAGAGAGGTGGATTTTGAGTCACTTAGACATAGTGGTGCTTTATTAAATATGACAGCTCCTCACTACTGAAGTGTTCACACCATGGGAAAGTGACTATCTGTCACAGCTGGGCTGGGAATTCTGCTCTGGGCGGGGACCTGTAATGCACCTCCTACTGCCACCACCTGACAGTGGACGGGAGAGAGGACTGTCAGCTGTTTGCTGACTAATCTACAATGGAACTTTCTCCATAGAAACCAGTTTCTGAAGAGCCCTTAAGAGATACTGAAATCTCATCAGAGAGGATCAAATAAGAGTTTCTTATATGAAATCCATATTTTTGGCTACTGGACATACTTACTTTTGACTACTAATTTCCAAAAGAGTTACCCCTTAATAACAAACTCTTAGGATGTGAAAAGATATTAGAATTATAAAATAAACTGGCTTATTCACGCAATGGATACTCATTAGCAGTTGAAATGGGAGAACTAAATCTCAAAGTATGTTGAATGATAAAAACTGCAAAAGTATACATTTATCCCCAACTACAGAATAATATATTACATATGGCTCTATCAATATAGGTAGCAAAATGTAAAATATGCATGGAACTGACATATCTAGCTCCAGGATTGTGATTACTTCTGAAAGAAAGATATGGGAAAGGGATAATAGGATGGAATTTTAATTATATCAACAATGCTTTATTGTAAAAAATCCTTGGCCCTCCCTAGTGGCACAGAGGTTAAAGCTCAGCACATGAAGCTAAACCACAGCCACTGCAGCATGAGTTCGATCCTCGGCCAGGGAGCTGGCCCACATGGCACAGCAGACTTCTCTTGTCTCATAACTGCTCCCCTCAGCAGTGTATTTCAGTGGATCTGCCTGTTCTGTTCCCCACTCTAAGAGGAGTCTCTGGTGAGTCCTCTCACGCCCCTCCCCACACCTCTGGCCTGTGCCCCAGTTCTTATAGGCATAAATAAATCTTGAAAAAAAAAACAACCTTGGCACACAAAAGGCCAAATGTCTGTATCTGTAGCAAGTAGGTTAAGTATTGTATGACTAGATTATTTTCCATGTTTTTCTGTGTTCAGCGTGTTCTAAGTAGTTTATACCGAAATGAGACTTCTAAAGAAATACTGAGACCACGCAGCCCAGCCTTCCTACTCATGCAGGCACCTCCTCTCATCTCTGGTCACTGAGCCTTTGCTTCGCCTCTTCCCTTCTCCAAGGTCATTTGGTTCTTATATTAAAAGTAAAAGATGATTTCTAGTCAGTTTCTCCTCTTTGGCCTGGCTCTGTCCCCAGTACGGTAATTCTCGCGCATTCTCTCTGTTGAGAATGGGAATTCACACGGCTGCCCTCCCACAAGGGAGTAGGGCTGTTAGTCGTATGGGAAGTTGTTAGAACATGCCCTGTGAAGACAGCGTGCCAAACTCACACTGAATATCTTTTACTACAAAAGCCAGATCAGCTTCCTGATTTGCAATATAATTCACTAAGCAATAAGCCAAAATGAATACCTAGACTAGTGTCTCTGCTCAACTCTTAGAAAACTAATCAACCTATTCCAGATATTAAAGGACTCTAACAGTCTCTATTCCAGATATTGTAAAACCGTAAAATTCACCTTTTCCTTCTCATCTAATTTTTTTTAATTAAAAAGACTATCTCTTCTATAAACACCTTCATTTCTGAGATCACAAAATTTATTCTCTTTTTAACAGAAGGTAAGAATTGGATTTTGGGTTTTGCCTAGTATACACGTTAGCTCAACTATGAAAGTTTCCTGCTTTCTTCAAATGGACGATTTCTCAGAATTGCTTTTGGAAACTTTATTATTTCATCTAAATGTGTGATAGTAAAGACTACTGCATGTCCACATTAACCTGCTGTGTGACTTTTGGTAGTTTTGCAAAGGGACAAAGTCCTGCAACTTCCGCCAGCTCCTCAACCCACGAACGTGTTGGCTTTCCACAGGCGGGGCAGTCCACACGGGAGCCGTGGTCAAGAATGCCTCCCGCTATAATAATGCCATTCACCACGGAGTAATTAGCCCTGAAAGCCCAAATGCAAACAGCAACAATTCGTGAAGCTGCTGCTCGTTATACCCTAATGAGGGAATTAGTAAGAGCTCCATCTCTCCTCGGAGCACACACACACTGAATGGGTTTTTCTTCCTACCCTTCTCGAACATGCCTTGCTTTCATTTACTCTCATACACTCGATGTATAACAAACCTCGGAGAGCGCTGATCCTGTTGTAGTTAAGGGCACACATGCCAAGCTCTGGGTTGCCATAGACGTTACTTCTTATCAGGACATCCTCTGAGAACAGCTTGCGAATAAGGTATCTGGCTGACAGCTCTGGGCGAGGTTTCCCTTTCGCTATTTTCATGACTGAACATGGCAACAGAATATTTCTGTATCTAGCTCCAAAATAATCTAGAAGAAAAAGAGAAAAAAATCAATCTTTGGGGCAAATGTTAGGCTCAACGTTTTTATAAGGTGGTAACAGCAAGGCTGATTTTTCTGAGATATTAGGCTCAAGAATTTAAGAGGTCAAAAAAATGAAAATCTTAAAGTTTTTAGTGTATTGGGGAGATAGCCTGAGAAATGAGGCAGTAATCACTGCTGATGTGGTTACGCATGCTCTGACTGCTCAAGAGGCCCATTCAGTGTTCTGCTCCTTTCAGGATATGACCAGTTTTAGCACTGCATTTCCTAGCGGATTCTAAGTAACTCAATGCACTGTTTTCCTACTTCCAAAACACATTTATTCAAAAATAAACACTATGATTCCTACTGTAACCTCTGTAATTTTTAAAATGTACGCTTTCTTTTTGGTATTAAAATTCATTGTTAAAAAATCAAGTTCGGGGCCCTCCCTGGTGGCGCAGCGGGTTAAAGCACAGCACTGAGAATCTAGAGCCGCTTCAGCATGAGTTCGATTCCCCGCCTGCCCGGAGGTGACCACATGGAGTGGCAGACCTCTCCTGACCCGCCCGCTGCTCCCCTCAGCAGTGTACTTTGTCGATCTGCCTGTTCTGCTCCCCACTCTGTCTCTGGTGAAGCCTCTCACCACTCCTGAGCCTCTGGCCTGTATCCCAGTTCTGTATGCACAAATAAATAAATCTTAGAAAAAAAAATCGAGTTCATCTTAGACATCCTATCTTAGATAACTTTTTCAAATTGAAAAATAAAATTTAACCTCATTTGCCTTTCTCAACTCTGTGGTCACATCATCATCATCATCTCTCTTTAAAACATCATGACTCAAATGAACCACACTTGAAAATAATTATTTGTTGAAGAAAATATATCCAAGAAATACCTGGTTCTTTTAGTCAATAAGAGCATTTTTATCTCACAACATCCATCATTTCATTGGTGGCAATATGAATTCTACTTAGATAATATTCTACTTAGAGTTGACCTAGGGACAGGGCAGAGTCAGAAAATTGTTACCTCAAGGGCCACCAAGCCCCAGCAACTTGGGGTGGAGGCAGGAGGAAGCCTGAGGGCGGGTGGCAGAGGCCCCTATGGCACCCACTCTCCCTGACACCAAGGAAGTAGACAGCCACAGTGGGGGCCCGATGTTCTGAGCATGTAATTCATGCACAGCTCTTTAGGGAACCCCTGCGATGTGCCCTGCACACAGAGTAACACTCCTGAACTGCTCTGGCTCGTGCAGCCGAAGCTCCCTCCCCTTGACCTGCAGAGGAAGGTGTAGACCTGAGAGTTCACAGCGAGCAAAGGAATGGACTGAAAGCTGCTTTCTCAGGGGAAATAAGAGCTTTACCTTAGTCTTCGGAACCCAGTCTGAGGACTGAGCTATCTTTCATTCACTCATTAATCCAAGACATGAAATTGTTTAGATTTCTTCTTATGAACATTGTCAAACATACAGAGAGAGACCAGCATAATGAGCTCCATAAATGCAACACCCAGGTTCAACATGTATCATCAACAAAACGTACTTTAAAACTCACCCAGTGCTTCAAAAGTGTCAGCTGAATTCTCAGTGGAAGGTCCCTCAATTCCTTCAGGTAAAGCACTGCAGTGTGGCTGAAAATTCCCATTGTCTCGTATTCCCGAGGCAGCTGCTCGCTGACACCAATGAGAACAGCCTGCCCCACTATCTCTTTTATCATTGAAACCTGAACACTTTGGTTTGGGAGAGTCTTTATTGTCCTCACTGGTTTTCACCTGAAACACAAAATGGTATCTCTAAACCAAGTCTCACAATGAGAAAATACGAGCAGTCCACCCCGCCACGGCCCCCGGGGTGATGGGGAAGCCACTGTGTCCGGTGAGGTGGCCCAAGCCCAGAAGATGATGCGCCGTGATAGAAAGCAAAGCACAGCACAAGTGTGGATTCTCCCTCAGGAGGACATGACTTGCTGCTTCTTGGGGGTGGGAATTTTATCTAATCGACCTAACAATACTTGCTGATGCAAAATAAGTGGTTAACAAATACTTCATGAATAAGTGAGTGCATGCATTTCTTGAATCTGACAATTTGGGGTTTGCTTTTAACATTTTGGTTTACTTTTGCTTTCTCCAGTAGCTTGAAAACCTGACTGCAAATCTCAACATTTGAATTACCTCAGGGATCTTTAAAAATAAAAAATAAAAACGCGGTGCTTGGGTTGGCAGATTCCATCAGAACCTCTGGTGGAGGAAGGGGAGGGGCTATTCAGGCTTCAATTGCATTTTACAACATGCCTCCTGCGATTCTATATGTACCCAAGGTTGACAGCCACTGCTCGGGCCTCCCTACTGGCACAGCAGGTTAAAGCACAACACTGCAAGCTGGCCACAGCTGCTTCAGTGAGAGCTGGATCCCCGGCCCTGGAGGAGATCCACATGGTGCAGCAGACCTCTCCTGTCTTGCCCGCTGTTCCCCTCAGCAGTGTAACTGCTCCCCTCAGCAGTGTACTTTGTCAGTCTGCCTGTTCTGCTCCCCACCCTGTCTCTGGTGAATCCTCTCACCGTCCCTGCGCCTCCAACCTGTACCCCAGTTCTGTATAAGTAAATCTAAAAACAGCCACTGCTCTAGGTCAGGATCCCTAGATTTCAGTGTGTGCACAAATCACCTGAGGGAATTTTGCTAAAATGCAAATTCTGCCTCTGCAAAGCAGGGCTGCGTTTCTCACAAGTTCTGCTGGTTCGCTGGTCCGCGGACCCACTTTGAGTGGTGTGGACCTCTCCTACTCCTAGTCAAGTACCCAGAAGGCACTTTGCAGATGCTGCTTCTCTTCTTGAAGCCTAAGCAAATATGCAAATTACCATTTTCCAGGCTGCATCTTAATTTCACATTCAAATGTTTAGGGTGCAGTTTTTGTAGGATATAAAAGGGAATGTGAAAAATAAGCAGATTTGGTTTCAGACAGATGGTGCTTGAGCTATCACAGAAATCAAGCCGTTCACCAGGAAAACATAAGCTCAGCTACAAATATTCTTGGCAAATAGTTTCCATAAACTTACTCTAGAGACACAGGAGTGACTAGACATAGTAGGAATAAAGCAGGGCTTTTCAAGAGGTGGGTAGAAATTTGCAATTGTCATTAAGTTAAAGGCCTCATCAGAAGGCAACAGATATGGCACTCTTCCCTACTGGCCCATTCCTGTTCAAAGATCTCTGACATACTTTGAAAATGGAATGGATGAGACAGAAGCCAGATTCCAAGTTACCATGTCACTGCACAGAGAATATAAAATGCCTGTTATAGCTTAACCTCATGACGTGCATTTATTTCAACCGGGTTCTGCCATCACTGAAAGTGATCTAGCAAATGAAGTGCCTTCATTTTCTCCCAGGCCACCCTTAACTACCACTAGCACAGCTAGGCAACAGTACAGTCAGCTTTTTTTGTGTTACTCAATGGGACACTGAAAAAGATTTGCCAAATTTCTTTGTAGATTAAACTTTTCCTTGGTTTCAAATATACTAGTTATAATGGTATATTTGAATTATTTTATCTTTAAGATGTCTTTATGGAACATGAACATCAAAAAGTGAAGTCAACAGGCAGTATATTTTTGAGAAAATATTCCCTGTCTCTAAATTAAACAAACAAGATAAGCGCACAGGGCACCATGCTATCACTTCTGGAGTTGTACATGGTGTGGACTCATGCAGCAGGGGCCATACTTATATGAAAAAGAACTTACTAGTATTTTTTTGGAGTCAGAACTTAAACAGCGAATGAGAGCATTGATATCAGCAATACAGGCTTTCCAGTCTTTTCCACATTCACGCAAATCATGGTTGGGAAAAACTGTTGTCAGATATTCTGCAAATAATGGAAAGCATTCATGAAACTTGGTGGGGGGGTTAACAAAGACAATAGCAGGAAGTCTTTTATTTAAAATACTGAAAATCTTCAACTCTGAGAATTCAGAAATCCCACCAAAGAGGATGTTTTACTGAGGATCTCTTTCTAGCGTGTGAGTCTCTGGAACCTGACTTATGGAGCTGATAATAAGGTTTTGGTGTTTATAAAAAATGTAACAAAAAGTGAAGCATTTTAGGGTGCTAATGTCATTTGTTAACCTTATAGGTAAGCTAGAACTAAAAATAAAAGGAAAATTGTAAGGACAAAGTAGTATTGCTGCAAACATTACTACACCATAGCCTATTTACTTGTACACATTACATGTCTAGCTCCTTCCTAAGCTACTCCCTCTGCCTAGAACTCCCTTTTTCTCTGTCAGTTAGGGGATACTTCCAGATCTAGCGCATGTGTCTCGTCCTTAGCAAGCCTTCCCCAATGGCTTCACGGTAGCTGCTCTGCAATCTGAGGCGCTGCCCATTTCCAAGTGGAACGGGAGCTGAGCATATGAACATGCCCCTTTCTAGACTATAAACTCTTTGAGGTCAGAAATATTCATACATTGTTATGTCCTGGGTGCCTATGAATCCTACACCTCAAAACACATGTCTGGCAGGTAGGAGGCTAGAGTGGATGAAATAAGATTCTGCTTCTATGTTACCAGTTATTGTCACGGAAATATTTTTATTCTTACTCTTTTAAAACTTTTTCTTTTCTTTTTTAGTATCACATTCCCATCCTTAAGAATTGACTTAGTACTAAAGTACAGACCATCTGCATCAATAATCAATAAAGCTTGTCTTATTCTTCTAGTTTAAGACAAGTTTTATTTTTTAGAAGTTGTTACCCCCTGCATATTGTGAAATTATAAAACCTTAGTCAAACAGATGAAAAATGAACATTTCTTTGATTTACAGACCCCACTATTTGTTCAACTTCCAATAAGGTGACCAAATGATGAAAGAAGATTCTGTCGTTATTTTACATACCTCTAATTGCAGCGATTTTGTTTGGGTCTAGGGGTGGGTTACCATGGTGATGGCCACTGACTGAGCTGCACATCAGGACTTCCCTGGAGAACAGAATGCGAACCAAATAGCAGGCTGCCAGCTTAGGCTTGCTCTTCCTTTGTGCCATCAGCAGATAAGTATTAAGGATCCTGACATTTCTTCTTGGATCTCCAAGACAAACTATAAAAGATCAGGGAACGAGTACAGTCCTTATTTTGTCATGCAAGACTACCATGAAAGTGCCCAAGGAAATAAAATCAATGAGATGTAATTCACAAATTTCTACTTAGGTGAATTTTTTTCTTTTTTCCTCCCAACTCTCCATCCCTGCCTTCATGGTTTTCTGAGAGGTAGCATTTAAGTTGTACTTAAGTTTTGGCTTCATGTTAAGAACTTTAAATGAACTAGCCCATCCGATCTTGCCAGTTCCATGAAGTAGGTACTATCATTTTCACCACTTCACAGATGAAGAAACTAGTATTTAGGTTAGGGAAGCAGCTGAAAGTCAATGTCTAGTGAGACATAGTGCTGAGATTTGAAGCCAGACTGTCTGCCCTAGAAGCCCATGCTCTTAACCACTCTGCTTTCTTTACTGCAGGCACTAACACAGATAGACTAGAAATGATTCCCTACGGTTGTTTATTTGGTTCTTCCCAATTTTTCCGTGATTCTGTAAAACCATTCTTACATCAAAATGTTTTAAGTATGGCTTTGTATATAAGTGAGATTAAAAACTCAACTGGCATAAAAATTTTATGGATATTTACATAAACTACCCTTCAGAAGGTTATCACTTATATATACTATTAACAACAGCACATCAGAGTACCAGATTAGCACAATGAGCACAATTTTTGAAGTTTCTTTTAGTGTGCGGAACAAAATAATTTAAAGGAAAAGTCTTTTCTAGAGGACAAGAGTTGTTTTTACTAAATCCAACAATACATCAAAAGGTCATACATCATGACCGAATGGAATTTATTCCAGGGATATAGGGATGGTGCAATATCTGAAAATCAAACAATGCAATTCACCACATCAACAAAAGCAAAGATAAAAAGCACATGGTTATTGTCATTTTCTAATACAATTGAGTAATTCACTGTTTCAGGATGATTTTCCATATTGTTTTTTATGTTTACCACTATTTCTTGAGGTAAAAATGCTGAAAGAAAGTATTTCTTAAATCTAAGTACTGTATCGAGCAAATTAACCTTCATATATGAAGGGGAAAAGAAATGGTCATCTAAAAGAAAATGAAAAGTTTTGTCACTAGCAGACCTCCTGTTAAACAATGTCTGAAAGATCTTCAGACAGAAAGGTCACAATGAGAGGAGGAATCTTGAAACATCGGGAAGGAAGAAAAAAACAATAGAAAGAGCAGAAGTATTCAAAGAAACTCAACCATTAATACATTGCTGGGAGAGACGTAACAGCCACACTGAAAAAGTCAGACAGATTCTTTTAAAACCAAACCTGTAATTACCACATGACACAGCAATGTGACTCTTGGAAATTTATCACAGAGAAAGAGAAACTCATGATGACACAAAAATCTGCACATAAATGTGCTTAGCAGTTTTATTCATGATAGCCTAAAACTATAAACAACTTATATGTCCTTCAACAAGTGGAGGATTTACCTGTGGTAAATCCTGTATCATAGGATATTATCCAACAATAAAAAAGAATCAAGATAAGAACATCCATAAGCTCTACTCTCATTCTATATACACTGGAAGTTCAAGCTATTACAATAATGCAAGAATGAGGAATCAAAGACATACAGATTGGCTAGGGAGAAATAATATGGTCCCTATTTGTAGATGGCATAATATTAAAAAGATGGCAATATAGAAAATTCCAAAGAATTTAAAAAGAAAGACTCCTAAAACAGTAAATGAGTTCAGTAATATGGACACAGGACACAGACTACAAGAGAACGTTCACTAAAAATGTTGATTAATCTAGGTTAAAGAGTATTAGTCCTCAATAATACTATGAATTATTTCAAACTTACCCATATTGGGATTGAAGAAGGAAGACTGTGAATCAGCATCTTGGTCACTGTTAACTTCCTCTGCCGTTGTCTCAGAATTCACTTCTGTTCTGGATTCTGTGAAAACAATATTTCAGTAAGTAAAACATTTTCAAGGGCTGAAAAACAAGAAACCTCAACAGCGACCTTTGTATCAGATGAAATTCTCCTTCAGGGATGAAGGAGAAATAAACCATCCTTACACAAAGGAAAATTTCAAAACAATTGTCACTAGCTGACTTTTAAAAAACGGCTAAAGGAAGATCTTCAAAGCAAAAGAAGATGGTGAAGGAAAGAATCTTCGAGCATGAGGAAGGACGAAAATATAAAGAGCAAAGAAACTAGATCATTCGTACATTACTGGTGGGAGTGTGAAATGGTCCAGCATCACTGGAGAACAACTTGTCAGCATCTTACAGAACTCAACTTACCATCACCATAGGCCCCAGTTTCTGTGCGCTTGGGCATTATCCCAGAGAAATGGAGGCTGATGTTCACACAGAAACCTGCATACAAATATTCATAGCAACTTTACTCATATTAGCCCTAAACTGGAACCATTCACCCAGGAGAAGCGAAAGCTTGTGTGAATGAATGAAATGAAACGAAAAACTATGAAAAAGTGTTCACAGCAGCTTGATCCCTTACAGTCAAAAACAGGAAACCCAGAGGTAATGGATAAACTATGGTATGTCCATACCATAAAATCCTACTCAGCAATAAAAAAGAAGGAACCACTGATGCACGCCACCATGTGGATGACTCTCTGGGGAGAGTGTGGGTGTGGATCTCAAATACCATATGATTCCAATATAAAAATGCTGAAGGGAAAAGTTATAGATACGGAGACTAGATTCACAGTTGCCAACAGTTAGCCCAGGGCAGGGGGAGGAGTGGGAGGAAAATGTCAAGTGGAGGGAGGTGGTTGTGGTCCTTCAAAAGCACTATGAGGGATTATGGTGGTGATGGAACTTGTCTGGGGAATTCTCTGTGGTAGAAGTCACATGAACCTCCATCTGTGATAAAATTGGACTGAACTAAATCCACACACAAATGAATATAAGAGAAACGAGACATCTGAGTAATATCTATGGATGCTATTATGTCAGTATCTTGGTTGTGGCCATTTTCCATTGGGGAAAACAGGGTGATGGGAACACAAGTTCTCTCTGTATTATTTATGGCAACTGTATGTACAGCCAAGTTTCTCTGAAAATAAAAACTAATTAGAAAAAGCTACCTGTATCTTGCAATCAGGAAGTTGATCAATCTAGCTGAATTATTTCACATGTCACAAGTAGCATCTCAAATTGAACAAAACTGAGAGGAATAGAGATATAATGAGGAAATGTCTTGGCTGCTACTGTTTTCCAATAAAAGTGGACAATTTGTTGTTTCAGGGTTCTTTTCCAGGCTGCTTTGAGCTTTTAACAATATTTCTATAAGTAAAATATTTTCAAGTACTGAAAGACATAACATCACAACCATAAATCCTCTATCAGGCAAAACTATCCTTCATCTTTTGAGGATTAAGAGCTTGCAACAACATGGGTGACCTGGAGGGTTACATGAAATCAGAGGAAGACAGATACCACATGGTATCACTCACTTGGAGAATCTCTAAAACAGAAAGAGTTGAATTCACAGAAACAGATGATGGCTGCCAACAGGGCAGAGGGTAGGGAGACATTCATCAGAGAGTACAAAGACTTTTCAGTTCTAAGATAACTAAAGTCTGAGGATTTAATGTGTAACCTGGTGACTACAGCTGATGACAGTGTACTGTATAATTGAAATTTGCTAAAAAAGTAGAAGTTAAGCATTCATGAGAAGAAATAAAAAAGTAAATATGTGAGGTAATGAAAATGTTAATTAACTCGATGGTTAACTGACACAGAATGGAGATATATATCAAATATCACATCATATACTTTAAGTACATTATAATTATTTTGCCAATTATACATCAAAAAAAGCTGAAGAACTGAACATCCAAACTGTTGGGGGGAAAATGAATGAAGGACAAATACAGACATTCTCACACAAAGGAAAGCTAAAAGTATTTGTTACGTGCTGACTTACACTTGAGAATGACTATAGGAAAATCTTGAAAGAGAAAGAAAGGATGAAAAGGTTAATTTTGGAGAGTCTCCCTCCCTGGTGGCACAGGGTTTAAAGCACAGCACTATGAAGCTATCTGTACCACGAGTTCAGTCCCCACCTGGGAGCTGACCCACATGGCGCAGCAGACCTCTCCTGCCTCCCACTGCTCCCCTCAGCAGTGGATTTCAGTCAATCTGCCTGTCTCTGGTGAACCCTCTCACCACTCAAACTTCTGGCCTGTTCTTGTATGCATGAATCTTAAAAACAAAAAGAATAAATCTTGGAGCATCAAAAGGGAAGAGAGGAGAATAAAAGCAGCAGAAATATGGATGCAGAGCAAATGGATCACTTGTACAGTGCTGGTGGGAAAGTAAACAGTACAGCCTACTCTTGGATGTTTATCTAAAAGAAGTAAGGACTTATGCTTACATAGAAACCTGTACATAAACGGCCATGGTCATAGGACTTAACGTGCTATACTGAAACCTGGAAACTAACAGTGAACAAATGCACAGACTGTGATCTCTACAGACCATGCAATAATGCACAACAATAAAGAAGCAGGAACAACTGATATACAGATTCCGAAGAATCTCCAGGTACTTGTGCTGAGGACAAGGTGAGGCACCCTATGGTTATGGGAATGTTCTGGGTCTGGATGATGGTGCTAGACAGCAAGCATGCTCGGGTGTGATAAAATCAAGTAGAACTAAACACATGCCCACGATTCACTACAATTAAATGGGGGAAATCTCAATAAAATATGTGAGCAGCACCAATGTCCATATCCTGGTTGTAACACTCTATTGAAGTTTTGCAAGATGATATTGTTAGGAAAAGGGGGTAAAGCATAAGTGAAATCTCTGTATAATTTCTTACAACCGCATATACATCTTAAACTACCACAACATGGAAAGTTTAATTGTAAAAAGAGCTACCACTAGTTTACATCAAGGATGTAAATGGATCCAGATCACACAGAGCTCCTTGAAATATGTAACATTTCAAACTCACCAGAATTGGGAGGAGAAGAGTGAGACGACGAGGTAGTGCCCGGGCCACTGCCATCCCCAAGCGCATCTGGGTAATGCATTGTCTGAGGGTTGTTTTCTGGGCTGGCTTCTGCTCCTTCTGGCGTTTCTATAAGTAGAACTTTTTCAAGTGCTGAAAAGACAAGAATTCTCAACTGTGAATTCTACATGGGGTGAGATTATCTTTCAGAAAAGAAGGGGAGAGAACGACATTCTAAGACGGGAGGGGGGAACTAAACTGTCTCTAGCAAAATTATCCTTAAAAATAGCTAAAGGAGAATATTCATCAAAAGGACTCTTATAGGCCCAGGGTAAAGAAATAACAACAGAAGATCAGACATGGATGTGGAGAAACTGGACTCCACGTATGTCCCTGTCGGGAATGTAAATGGGAACAGCCTCTCAGGAAAGTGGTTCTGCGATGTCTTATGAAACCAAACATGTTATTATCACAAGACCCAACAACTGCACTCTCAGCATTCATGATAAAAAATGAACTTATATTTATATGAAAACCAGTACATGAATGTTCACAGCAGCTTTACTTATAGTATCCAAAAACTTGGAAAGAAGAAAGCAGATGTCCTTCAAGGGATGAGTGGTTTCTTAAAAGCTGTTCTGTGGCTGCACTGTGGAAAACTCCGTTATCAATAGAAAGGGATGATTGAGAAATTAAAACTAGTATTTATACCAAAATGTGTGCACATGAAGATGTAGAGTTACTTTATTCCCAATAATGAAGAACTGGGGAAAATTCAGATGTCCTTCAGTGGGTGACTGGTTAAACAAAATGTAGTCCATCCATAGCATGGAATAGTGTTCAGCAATAAGAAGAATAAAGTATTAATACAGACAACAAATTAGACGCAGTTCCAGGGAGTGACTAGAAAAAAGCCAATGGCAACGGATTAGGTTGTGGGTGATACCACTTATGTATTAGTGGGAAGAGACAAAATTAAAGAGTAAGAGATCAATGGTAGCCAAGTACTGGCGGTGGGTCCTGGGGGAAGGACGTTGAGTGTGGTTGTAAAAGGGCAATACATAGGATCCTTGGGTGATAGAAATGATCTTGACCTTGACTGTGGGTATGCAAGCCTACCCATGTGAAAAGTTGCACATGCTGAATACACATACCCAGATACAAGTGAAACTGGGGCATCTCAATAACGTTGTGGATTATATTGGTCAATATTCAGGTTGGGACACTGTGCCATCTTGTTTCACAAGCTGTTCCCATTGGAGAAAACAGACAAAAAGCACAAACAGAATCCCTTTCTATTATTTCTTATGCCTGCAGGTGAATCCTAAATTAAAACGAAAATAAAAGTTGCTTTAAAAAAAGAGTTGCAGGCCCTCCCTGGTGGTGCAGTGGGTTAAGACGCAGCACTGCAAGCAAACTGCAGCCACTTAAGTGCAAGTTCGATCCCCGGCCCTGGAGGTGATCCACATGGCGCAGCACACGTCTTCTACTCCCCTCAGCAATAATATAGTCGATCTACCTGTTCTGCTCCCCACTCTGTCTCTAGTGAATCCTCTCACCACCCCTGCACCTCTGTCCTGTACCCCAGTTCTACATGCATAAATAACTAAATCTTAAAAAAAAAAGTTGTAACTGGCTTGTATTAAAGATGTTGGTGGGCCTAGATTAAACAGTGATACTTGAAATAGGTCTCATTGCAAACTTACCAAAATTGGATCGAACAGTGTGAGATGAAGTATCAGTATTTGGTCCACTCATATTTCCTAACAAAGCTGGGTAATACATTGGTTGAGAGTTGGTTCCTTGGCTGTTTTCTGTGTTTCCAGGTACTTCTATAAGTATGAATTTTTCAACCACTGAAAGAAAAGAATTCTCAACTGTGTATTCTATATAAGGTGAAACTATCCTCTACCTCAAAATCACAATGTTCTAAACCAATGTTACCTCAATAAAATAAATAAACAAACATCCTGAAACAAAGGGTCTTGACCATATGCTGTAAAAAGACAAAAGGAAAACCTTCACACATAAAGGATATGATGAAGGACATTTTGGAACATCAGGAAGGAAGAATAAGAACAGAAATGTGGATGTAGAGAAACTGGATCACCCATATGTTGCTGGGGAGAATGTAAAATGTTACGGCCTCCATGGAAAATTGTTAGGCAATTTCTTATAAAACGAAACATGCTACTCTCCTAAGACCCAACAATGGCACTCCTGGAATTCATGGCAGAAACAAAAATGTGCATTTATACCAAAATCAGTACATGAATGCTCATGGGGAAAGAAAAAACCTAATGTCTTCCATGGGTGGATGGTCAAAAACAACACTGCATCTTAAAACCAGGGAAACTAGTCATCAGTACAAGGGGAGGCAGGGTGGGTTTGTACAATAACCTGAATGACTCTTTAGGGAATTATGCTAAGTGGGGGAAAAAACAAAACCAAGCATCAAAGGTTAGATGTTATAAGTTTCCTTTATATAACTCTTGAAATTTCAAGTATAGGGGCCTCCGTGGTGGTGCAAGGGGTTAAAGCACAGCACTGTGAAGCTCTCAGCAGCCACTGCGGCATGAGTTTGATCCGTGGCCAGGAAGCTGACCCACAGGGCACAGCAGATCTCTGTCTCGCCCACTGCTCCCCTCTTCAGCAGTACATTTTAGTCGATCTGCCTGTTCTGCTCCCCACTCTGTCGCTGGTGAATCCTCTCACCTCCCCACACTTCTGGTCTGCACCCCAGTTCTTGTACGCATAAATAAATAAATCTTGTTTTAAAAAAAAGAAATTACAAAATTATAGAGAACAGTTTTCCAGGGGTCATGGAACAGGCTGTGGGGAAGGAAAGGGCAATGTAGGAGAGGAGTCTGAAAGAGCTAGATGAGACGTGCTGTCCCGACTGTGGTATGGAGCTCAAACCTACACATGTGATAAAATTAGATAAACATAAATACACAAAAGGCAGCACTGGGGTATCTCAATAATATCTGTGTGTTTTTATAAATCAACATCAATACCCTTACTGTGATACTTTACTATCATTTTACAAGGTGTTATCACTCAGAGAAAAAGGTAAAATGTATAGGGGATCTCATTATAGTATTTAAAAATACACGCAGTTTTGAAATTATTCCCAAATTAAAAGTTTAATTTCAAATATAAGCCCCCACCAGCTTGTATTAAGGCTGTTGATGTATCTAGATTACATAGTGCCACTTGTAATATGGATCATACGAAACTCACCAAAATTGGGTGGAGGGCTGACAGGTGCAGAGGAAGGACATTGGTCACTCTCATTTCCTGGTACATGTGGACAGTTCGTTGCCCTGGGGTTGTTTTCTAGGTTGCTTTCTGCTGTTCCTGGCACTTGTACAGGAAGAACATTTTTTAACTGCTTAAGAAAAGAACTCTTGGCCATTAATTCCATACTTAGTGAAGCAATCCTTCATTCATGTATGGGAAATAGACATTTTCAGGAAAGAAAACTAAAATAACATGCCCCTCATAGACTTACCCTTCAAGAAAGGCTAAAGGAAACATCAAGGTTATGATAAAAGAAACAGACTTTGATTATCAGGAAATATGAAAGAACAATGGAAGAGAAGAGATATGCAAGCAGGAAAACTGTGTCACTTGTATCCTCCAGGTCCCTGTAAAAAAAGTTTAGCAGTTTCTTATAAGACTCATGTGGAATGACCACAGAACTTAGAACTATCCACTCAAGCATTCATCTCAAAGCAACATAAACTTATGTATGCACAAAAACTACATGACTGTTCATAGAGTTTATAATAGACAAAAGCTGGAAATACCCCAGAGATCTTTTAGTGGGTAAGTCACTGTGCATCCATACCATGGAACAGTACTCCCAATTAAAGAGGAATTACTGATACATTCAGTAATTGTATGAATCCCCAGGGAATTAAGTTTAGTGAAAAATGCCCCCCAAAAGCCATGCCCAGAAGATCACATCATATTTTACAACAAAATAGCAATATTGCACTGACAAAATTATTGGAAGGCGGGCCAATTCACTGTTTGCTAGGGATGAGGATGGGGCATGATGGGATGGAGAGTGAGCAAAGTGGATGGCTGTGGTTACAAAAGGGTTCCTGGGGTGATGATGTAAGAAGTATTGTGAATCACAACTGTGGTGGCAGACAGCTATGCCCCTCTGGGGAATAAAG